CCTCGAGACGAATCCCTTTACCCGCGTTTGGGAGTTAGAGTCAGATTTCGTCTAGGCAAAATTTACTTAATTATCTTTGTATTTTATAGTAGTTAAATTTTATTTTTTGTAATTAACATATTAACACATAATTATATTGTCATTAATTATTTTTATTTTTTGTTTTCAGATATTTCCTGAGTAGGAGTTTGCTTTTTGTGGAATGCATGTCTGTGAAGAATGCGACTAACTTTTGTTTTTGTTACCCACGGAGAATGATGAGCAAAACTTTTTAATTTTGCTTTATGTTATTTTGAATTATGAACAACATTATATATTTAAATATTATATATGTATTATGGAACATTATGTAGTGAGTAATTTTGTTGATGTGTAGTTATGAATGCAAGAATATTTTTGTTATGGAGAAATTGTTTTTTCTATACAGGAATTTTTATATATTATGTAATTATTGATTCTTTTTCAATTGTTTTTTATTTAATACAGGTAATTAATATTTTTAATAATTTTATTGTAGGTTTTTTTTTCTTTTTTGCGACGGGATCACACTATCCAAAAAAAATAGATAATTTTAATATTTTTAATAATTATATTGCAAATTTTTTTTTTTTTTTTTGGTGATGGCACCACACATCCAAAAATATTAAACCATTGGCAACAATGGCTATGCCGTCGTAAAAAAACAAAACAATTGTTGATGGCATTTTTTTGTTGTCTCAAATAAAATTTTTAGCAGCGGTAAAATAGTCCTGCAAAAGGTCTGACTTTTTTACATATTATATGACAGTAAATTGTTGTCGCAAAAGGTAACAATTGCTGTCGCAAAAAAAGCGACGGCATGATGCTGTCGCTAAAAGGTTTTTGCAACGCTCTCTATTGTGATTCTCCCTTTGCTGTCGCTAAAAGTTTTTGAGACGGACATTGAATAACGACGGCATTGTGCCGTCGCAAAAACTCGAAATTTTTGTAGTGAATGTTGTAATAAGCGTGCGTGTGTGTGTGCATGTCTTTCAACCCCATTTCTTTCTCTCTTTTATTTATCCGCTTTCAGTGGTTAGATTAGGGTCTTATGTTTGCATGTTTGCATCTATTCATTTGTCTTGCATGCACTGAGGCTCGGTGCATCGTTCAAATTGCATCGTATTTCAACACGCTTCTTATATAAGTGTTTCAAAGCATGTTATCGGAGTGTTCGCATTCATTATCTATAGATAGCCGAGCCTATTTAGTTGTATATTGCATGCGTTGCATTAGGCATCTTGAGTATAGTTAAGATCATACATTGTTCTAACTAGTTTTCTGTTTTGGTTCGGAGTACACTGTAAGTGTTTACGCTTTAGCATACTTGCATGAGTGTGATGTGCTCTATGATAGCAGTTTTCCGTGAGACTATTTGCTTAAGTGTTAAATTGCATGAATGCCTGCGGAATGAAGGCTTTATTGCTTGAATTGGGCACATTCATCAAATGTGGATTTAAGCCCACTTTGCGAAGTGGCAAATTATCATGCTTTAAGCCCACTTGAAGTGGCAAATTCGCGCTTTAGCCTACTTGCGACTAGCACTTTCGAACATTTATAAAAACAAACTATAATTGTTTGTTCCAATTCTCGTAATGAGTCTATACTTGTATGCTGTGCGCATCACATAGTAAGTTAGGTTAATAATCAGAACAAGAACACATGTGTTTATAAAACAAGTAGTTAGAGGCCGATCTTTGATCAGGCGAGTGGGGCTCCTACACTTCCCCTCTCGTATCCAAGTTCCGAGCCGAGGCAACTTTGGTGATGACGGACACGTGGCCTTTGGCACGAGTCAGGTCTCCTAAAATTTCCAAATAAAAAAATTTAGGTGGTGGCTCTGTAATTTGGCAAAACAGCCTATTTGGCCTCTTTTCATTCAAAATTGATTTCTTAAAACACAATGGCCAGATTTGGACTCTTTTGGTGTTTATCAGTTTCACACTGCACTTAGTGAGATTAGATTCAGAACCGTGATGAGAGTCCGAACTGTAGGACGACCAATTCGCGCCTTTCTCCGAAAGGGGGGCGGGCCGAAGAAAGTCTAGCGCTACACTAGGCGATGGTGCAGGAGAGAGAGAGAGAGAGAGAGAGAGAGAGAGGGCGGTGGTAGCTTGGATTGAGGTTGTCTGAAGCTGTTGGGGGTGGTCGACTGTGGGGGTTGCGATGAAGTTGACTGAATAGTGGCTTTGGATTGGAGTTGACCGGAGAGTGGCGCCGGTGGTGGAGGTTGTGGCCGGAGCTAACAATGGTTGGGTTGGGAAGGTGGGTTAAAGTGAGGGTATAGCTGGAATTAAGGTGGAATTTCAAAGAGAAAATAGAAGGGCCTCATTTAGCTGGGTGGGGTTCAAAGAAATGGGGGTCCAAAGAGAAAGGAATGTGCTAATAGCAGTTCTCTTTTTTTTCTTCTAATGTACCTTGACTTAGATAGCAGGGTCTCTTAAAGGGCAATTATTCATTTCTTCTAATGTGCTTATGTCACTACCAGATTTGAACAGGTCAAATTGTTTATTAAATATAGCTTTAAAATGTTGATTTAGGATATTCATTCAAAATTTTAATTAAAATTCTATATAAAGAGATTACATTTTCAATATCTATTGTATACTTTCAATAAATTTTTAATTTAAACTTTTTAAATAACAAACAAAAAAGAATTTTGATATATTTTATTATTATTTCAATAGTAAATAGTAGTAATACATGGAGTTCTACCATTAATCTCAACAAGTCATACAACTCATACTAGCTTGAAATCATTTTTTTTCTTCAAATTTTATGTCTTAATTCATTATTTCGGTATTTTTATTTTGTATGCAAGGCACCTTTTTTAGTACTCAAAAATAAAAAGTGTAAAAACTAAATGCATTTTGGGTTGCATTAGCCATGGTATACATTTACCATAAAAGATATTATGAATGGGTTGTAGAATTAGTGTGCAATGTTTGGAGTGAGTGAATTGGATTGGACTGTCAAGATTTGCGAGATGAAAATTTAAGTATTAAATTAGGAATGGTGGATTGATTAACTTAGGTCAAGTTGACTATCCTAAAATAAGTACATATTTTTTATCTTTTTATCTTTTTTTCATCATATCATCTCTCTACTTTCTGTACATCTTTTCGTAAAGATAAAAAAGTATATTATTTTAGATCATTCCAAACAACTCTTTAGTAATATATACAAAGAATATATATATATATATATATTCAATGGAATACCCTGCCTTGCAGACCCCCACTGCAGGCAATGGGATAAAAATAAAAAAATAAAAAAATAAAATTCAAATGATGAAAGTTGGACTGATTGATTTAGTAATATGGGTAGTGATACATCGCTTATCGCTGTAAAATTAAAATTTTAATATGAGTTTTAATGATGTGATAAAAAAAATATATATATATATATAAATTAAAATATTACATTATAATGTGGGATTCACTATTAGAGTTTTAGTAAAACTTTTAAATTAGAGCTCCTAAACATTATTGTAATAATAATACAAAGAATAAACAAATAAATAAATACATATATCAAATCTCTCTCTGTGCCTCGGTAAACCGGGGTTTGTGTTCCCATACTGGCAGAGCCCACAACCGGTTTAGCCTTATGGTCATGCCTTGACAAGACAAGCCTCCGGCAAACCGTTCAGGAATAGCAGATGGCAAACACAGTGTCCTAGGCGCACCAATGCAAATACAATGCAAAGAAACACATAAGTGTAATCAAAGCAAGATATCATGAGTTCGAGTCAAGTTCTCCAAATCCCCAGCAGAGTCGCCAGAAACTGTAGACGTGCCCGAACATCCTGGGAAAATCCTGTTTTGTTCATTGGGATCACTACAGTTCGGACATAATGTCACGGTTCTTAATCTGATCTTGCAAAGTGCAATGCGACATTGATAAATCACCAAAGAGTCCAAATCTGGCAAATCGTTTTGAAAAACTGATTTTTAGAAAGAAGTGCCAAACATGGACTGCTTTGCCAAATACAGAGTTGCCACCTAAATATTTTTATTTTGGGAAATTTAGGAAACCCTGACTAGCGCCTAAGGCCACGTGTCAGTCATCACCAAAGTTGCCTCGGCTCGAGAAGTTGGGTACGATTGGGGAAGGTCATTTCATGAGCACCCCCGCTCGCCCGATCAAAGATCGGCCACTACTAAGCATGATATTGAGTTTTTGAAAACACATGCGTTCTTATTCCGGTTTATTAGCCTAGAATTACTATGTGATGCGCACACGATACAGGTATAGACTAGATTGTCTAAGTTGGAACAAAGCGTCGCATATCTGTTTGTTTTGAAAATGGATTGAAGTTTGCTACTCGTAAGTAGGCTAAACACGGGTTTCGACGAATTATTCCAACTCAAGCAACCCAACCTTCACCCATAGGCATTCAGGCAGTTGTATCACATAGGCACATAGCCTCATGGTAAGCATGCTATCATGGAAGTCACTCACACGCATGCAAGGATGCTAAAGCATGAGCACTTACCGAGTACTCTGAGCCAAAGAAAGAAGCTAATTAGGAAACATGCATGAATCCTAACTATGCTGAGATGCCTAATGCAACACATGCAAGAATGCAACTAAGATAGGCTCGGCTATTCTAAGATGGCATATGAGATGCTACAGGTAACATGTATTCAACTTGGAATTGAAATACGATGCAGTTAGTATGATCTGTGCCGGCTCGGTGCATGCAAACAGATGAATGGATGCAAACATACGAGCATAAGGATGCTAATTGAAACGTGTCCTAAAACTAACCATCATGTAAGTGTTAAATAAAGGGAGAAAAGACGTGGGGTTTGGAAGACATACATCACACACACGCCCACACTTATTACAACATTGCCCTCTCTCAGAGGGTCCGAATGAATAATACACAACCAACTATGCTAATTTAAGCTAAATTAAACTAATTATTAGACAACTCAAATGAATAACGAATTACAGCTAATTATTACACAACACTAGCTAATTAACAAATTTAACTAAGGAAGCAAATAAACTAGCATGCAAGCTACATGAAATGGATTGCCTCAGCTCTGTTTCGAATGATAAAGGATGCGTGCATGCTCGAGTCGCCTTGTCGGGAAATCCATCGCGATGTCTCAGCTCGTCTTTGTTTGCAATTGAACTTAGAAACTTGCATAAAGCTCCAAGGAGATGAAACTCCACCCTGGGAATCTAGAGGAAGGCTACCGACCAGCACTGGGCATTGGAGACCACCTACCGACCACCCTTGGTGGTGAAAACCAGAAAAGCTGGTCGGCCTACCAGAAAACCTGGTCGGCCGACCAGTTTCTTGTCCTGGTTTCTGCATTTTCTGCAAC